GCCCCGTGCGGCCGCGGCGGCGTCCCTCCTGGCTTCCAGCCTCTTTCAGGCTGCCCCCAGCAAGCGCTGGGGAGGCGCGGACGGCCTCCGGTGCGCGGCGGCAGAAGAGCACAGAGTGCCTTTTGAACGTCACCTGTATCAGACAGCGGTACCGCTGTTCCAATTTGCATCCCTTCTTGCTCGCTTGTCATGTCAAACTCCACGAAAGCGCGGGCTGGTTCCCAGTTGTGCTTTTCCAGCCTTTACGGCAGTCCGTCAGTTCCCTGCAGGAGGAATTCCTTCGTAACGCTGCTGACCTGCTGCTCGGAGCAGAGCAAAGGCCTGCTCCTGGCCCTTCCTCATCAGCTTGTTCGGAGATGCAGAAAGCAGCAGGGCCCTCTACACTTGTTATGGAAACGGTTCGACCCTAGGTTTCCGAGGAGCAGAGTCTCACGTGCGTATAGCAACAAAATTAATTATTTATTTAAATGATGGTACAGCATAGTAACAGCTTGAGCTGGGTGCCTGCGGGAAGGGACCCCAAACAGAGAAATTCTGGGGTAACTATACCCTTTACAGTTTTACCTCCCTGGCTGCCAGTGAAGGTCTCCTCCAATCTTCTTGACTGAGTTGGTGGTGTCTCTCCTTCTGACTGGTGTTCCTCTCCTTCTGTCTGGTCTCAGCCTTCATCCCAGGCTGGTTGCCATGTCCTTGTTTCCCACAGTCCCTTATCTTCTTGAAGGTCAACCACAACCTACGTGCATCCCATCTTGTCTCCTACGTTCTACTTTGTATCCTTGTTAGCTAGTTTTGTATCTTTATAAGCTGAGTTTTGCAGTTACATCATGGCAATGTTTCTTGAGGTCATGGAGGCCTGCAGGCTTCATCTACATTAGGCACTTATGCTAAGCAAGAGTCAGCCTTACGAAAAGCTGAAGCTGAGTCAGCTACAGGTTCCTTCTCTAACAGTGCTGAAGCTACATCAGTTACAATTTCCTTCTCTAACACACTGGAGTAGAGGACATACATAGAGGCACAGGTACAGCCCAAGTTACACCAGTGTGCTAGAAATTTGGCCAACTGGAATACAACTGGTTGTCGTTCTCCTAACAACCCTGCACGTACCTGGGGGAGGGGGGTGGTGGAGGTTGTCTAGAAAAACAACCCTTGCTCTTATAGACCCCACAGTGGAGAGGCAAGTGGGGACACCATGACAGAAAAAGATAAGGCTCTTACCTAAAGCAGGGCACTGCAAGAGGCCACAACAGCCCTTCTCTTGCCCTCTCTGAAGGGATGCTGGCACAGGAACCCACAGTGGGAATTCAGCACTGGTGAATTCCTGTTCCTGTTGCCACTGAACAGCCCCTGACCTTTCCATCCTTCCTGCCCCGTGCAGGGTCAGATGACAGAGAGCACGGCTGTAGAAGAACTCCCGCTTTGCTGCTGGCAGTGGTGGGAATGAACCACCTACAACCCCACCTGTAATCTGCACTGAGCTGTTGTTTCTGTGGCACAGTCCTTCCCTTCAGGATGCAATACGGGGTCCCTCTTCTGGCCCAGTGCAGGCAATGCTGTTCACCAACCCGCTTGCACTGTGCAACATGGCTCCTCACTTTGCAGTCTTGAGAAACTTTGATCCCTGCAAATGGGACTCTAACCCTCAGCAAGGAGCAGGCTTAGGCAGTGCGCTGTCAGCACGTGAACATCTAGCCTTGCTCACAGACACACAGACCTCACACACACCTTTACATGATAGCTGCTTACATAATTTAAGCACCTAGGAAGAAAATAAGTGCCTAAATGTACAACTTAACATGGTGATTTCCTGAGCACAGATACTGGCAAATCCTCAGTACAAGGTGAAAGGAGCCCCACAGAAAGGGCATTCCCACCTCATCCTTTGGCAGATCACATTTGAATGGTCTTTTAGAGCTATGTTGCTGTAGGAAGTAGTAGTCTTTTATATTTGCAACATATGACCGAGGATTAAGCAGGTGACTTCTTTTCCTCCTCTCCCTTGCTCTTGGAATAATCTCTTTGACGGGAAGTAGTGTTTATACTCCCACTGCAGCAGGATGGCTGGCCCCGCAGGGGCTGCAGGGTGCCCCTTTACCAAAGAGCTTACAGATGAGCTATGGGATCTTCAGCACAGCAGGGGTGCTCCTAGCGAGAGCTGGTAAAGATCCACTCTCTTCATCCTATTTTTCCCTGTATAATTTCTGGCTTGAGATCTCAGACAAGTTCTTCACCGATCCCCCAGTCCTGCTGAGTTATGCTCCTTTTCTCTCTGCTAAAGAGGCCAACCTTTGCCTTGCAGCTAGACTGTACGCAAACCAGAACTGAGATCTCCTGCTGCTGCTCCCTCCTGCATGTTTTATCAAAACATGCATCTGGATTTGATTTCCAGAGCGAGGAGGCAGGCTGCCCTGCTGGAAGCAAACAGTAGGGAGCACATCAGCAGAGGCACTGGCATATCAGTTCTCCAAGGAGCATTTAAGAGCCTTTTGGTCTGGCATTTTAAATGCCCCGAGTCTCCCTCTGCGTATACTAAGGGGACAGGAAGGGGATAGCACTGGCAAAAATGAATGAGAGGTGCATCTTTGGTCAAAATAAAGCTGTAGCTGAACTGAAGCTTTGCAGAACTACCACCTGGGAGAGGGAACCCAGCGCAGGACACATGAATGCTCATCCATAGCAATATCCTCTGGCCCATATTGCTGTGATTTTGATGCCAGACTTGGTTTTCTTGAAAAATACGCTTTAAAGATGAGAATTTTCTCAGTCTCCTGCGAGAAGGAGAGGGACTGGAATCAGCTGAGAGTTAAAGCCTTAAGTCATTCAAAAGGAGCACTTCTTTGCCCCTCCCCCCCAAAGCAACTGGATCAGTGGGTGGAGGATGAGGCCCACCTGCCAGCAGCAATTGCTGTTTCCTCTGTGTTCTGAGATTGTCTCTGGTTAAGTAACTGACCTGGCTTCACCATGCTGAGGCTCCTGTGGAGGCATATTTAAAACAAGCTTTGAATTAGCCATTTTGAGGCTATAGCATTGCAGCCGTGATGACACTGACTGCAATACAGGCTGCAAAATCCAGCTGAGAAGCAGAGAAAATAACCTGGTTACAGGGAAGCAGGGGTGCTGCCAACCAAGTCTCCTAGGTGGGAACTCCCAGGGATGATATGCAAAGCTTTTTACAGAGGAGTCCCTGCAGGGGCCTAGAGTATCTGAGGCCATGGTTTGCCTCCCATCTATGCAGCTGACTCTTGAGCTGTCCAGAGGACAACCTGTCTTGGAGGGCCGCAAACATGCAGTTTGTGTCTGAGGTGGGTTTTCAGGCCTGCAGGGCCTCGGAGTCTGGTGCCAAGAGAGGCTTTAGGTCTTCCCCAGTGCCACTGCAGTGCTTCCCAGTGTGAGAAACGTGCTCTGTTGCCAATGATACAGCCAGAGGGTGGCACCATCCACCAGCACAAAAAGCACCTGGCCAGATCTCCCAAAGCTTTGAGGCCTTTTTTTGCTTGGTTGTCCATGTCCCAAAGTCAGCTTGCACGGCTTCCTGCATGCTGTGCTGGCCAATTCCTAGCTATCAACCCAGCTTTACTGTGGGCATGTTATCTGTTTGAGTGGAGGAACCCGCAGGAAAGGAAACTCACGGGCTGGCTGTCTGCAGTCTGGCATGCAATGGCTCAGAGAAGTGTCTCTGAACCCTCCCATGCTCTGCAGGCCAGCGATCCTTTCTGGGAGCACCCAGCCCTCGTCTACGCTGTGTGGCCTGGCCAGGATGCATGAAACTCATAGTTCAAAACCCAGTCTGCCCATCCAGGCTCAGCTCAGACTGGGGTGTCACACAAAGCACATTACAATGGTTTTCTCAATCAGGCTCAAACTCGGTTGGTTATTTCCCGCTGCTGCTATATCATTTACGAAGGAGGGGTTAACAGTCCTGTGGTTGTCTTTCCTGTGCCCCCCTGGCTGAGCTGACAGGATTAATTCTCAACATTTGCGCTTTGGTAGCTGAGTGCTGCTCAGCACAGATGTGTGCAGGACTTCTCTGATTGTGCACAATGTTTGTAGTGCCAAAAAGGGGGTGATAAGTTGCTGGAATGCTTTTTCATCTGTTTTGCCCATTAATAGATCTGTGCCTCTCCTTCCACACATCTATTTTACTCCTCTTCCCTTTCTGTGAGTTTTAATCATTTCCACCCCTCTGTTTTATGCTATGACATCTAAGCTACAAACCTAGAATATCAAGTGATTCATTACTGTGCATGAAAGTACCTGAACTCACC